TTTCTAGAAGACCGTAAATCACTATGTTCTTTTACAAAAGAAAGCAAAAACACATAGAAAATTGGAAAAATGGGAGAAATTTCTTAATTTGTGTTGTGAATCCAGAACAGAGAAAATATCACAATCATAAAAGACACTGGGAGAAACAACGGGTGTTGGGCAACAGTGGGATACACGGATAAACTAAACCTACTTCGGAGAAATCGGCTGTTTCGCTAACTGAAACCACGTTGCGGTACTCTGAAAGAGAACCGGGGGGTAGACAAACTGAATACTCATTTTTTCATAAAAAGTATGATATTAGTCACATGTTAAAGTATGCTGGCCGAATGGTTCTAGTTATTATCGCTGAGGTGCTTTGGGTTCCAAGCTTCAAGGTCCGGACCATACCACCACCACCACGCAACCTCGGTTGTAAGGCGCACTCACTATCGTTCGATGTAGCACTGCGCTTTCCCTACTGACGTGTTATGTGGTCCGACGCTTCAGGTCAAGTTACCGGTTATAACAGTTTTCTCCCTCAATCGTTCATCACATACACGCATACCATATATTGTGAAACGTTCAAAACGATCATACCTAATCCCATTTTGTTGTACTGTGTTAAGGGACGGCGCGACCTCCAAGAATACGGTACAGCAAACGACGTTGACTGTTAACCGTTTTAATCTGAACGAGAGGATCAGGATACGTTCAACTTCCTCGACGTTAACCTAAAGAAGGGGCCCAATGGAAAGTCATACCGTTCAAGTTTTCGAAAACTAACAGGGAACGGTCAATACGTCCATTTCCAAAGTTTCGTCCCATTAAAAAATTTAAACGAAACTTGGTCCAATGTCTGGCCTTCAGAAATCGAATGATTTATTCCAAAGATCTACTGTAGGAAGAACTTAGATTCATCAAATCTACGCTCCTGAATAATAGATACCCAGGGCGCTTCATTGAGAAGACGCTCATAGAAAAGCCGACTGCCAAAATAAATCAGGGCTAAAAAGAAAGAGCTATTCTTGCATCTCCCGTTCAAAGGCGATACCAGTGATGATATACGAAGAAGACGTCCGGAAAAAGCAATCGCACGAACATATCCAACCGTCACTCTACGTATGATGTTTACAAGCCGGACACAGCTCTGCACAAACCTCAAGGATAAGCTGTTCATGCTCACTCCTCATCTATGATTACATATTCCTTCACTTGCACATGTTCGGCAAGTTATGTAGGACGAACGATGAGATAGTTCTCACAAAGGATCAGAGAACACCAACCGACTTGGCTTAGCACGGGTTGCAAGAAAACAATAACCAGTTCGATTATGGCCTACCTCGCTGATACCGAGCACCAGCCAGGAAACGATGCATTAAAGGTCATTTGAAAAGTGCGTTGAATTACGTTTGGAAACGTCACTTGGTAACGGCAGAAGCTATAGCAATGAAAATCATGAACCCACCATTGGACAAAGGGAAGAAAATGATTGCCGCACTCCAGTTGACTTGGATCCAACTAAACCTACGTGATCATCCGAACCATGATCTCGGTCATGCTGTGATGACGCAACATGGCGTGAAAAAGGTCATCGGAAATTTGCAGAATTGACGCAGCTCCGGCCCCCCCCCCTCCTTTCGCCCACTGCCCTCACTTTTTCCATTCGTTCTGATTAAATTCGACAGACATTGTTGTATTTTCATACTTAACGTCAATGGACCAATCACATTTATTTCTACATTAGATATAAATACAAACATAACTGTAAATGCCTGGAGACGAAGTTACGAAAACAAGCTTGTTCGCTATATTGTTTGTCCATTGAACAAGGAACTATTATTGATCGGGTTCTCACTGTTGTTCATTCTTGACTCGTCCGCAGTTGTCCAGTGTACCTGTTCACCGCTCAGAATAACGATTCCGCGGTGGCACATCAAGGAATACTCTCCGCATGTGCCCGGTGAAGTTTTGTCGAGGAGCGTCTGCATTCTAAGTGTTATTAATCCTCACAGATTCACATATCACAATAGAAAAAAAAACTGGGGGATGGGAGCCGAGGATCAACATAAAACACTCATTTTTAGTTTACGCAACGAGATTTTTCATACACTTTTCGTTTTCATTTTACTTCCTCTTATTGAATATATAACTAAAACATTTTTCAAGAAAGGCGAAGCGGCGAATCAAAGGGCTGCCGTCAAACACACACGATGGGGAAAGTTAGGCAGTGGTGGTGGTGGGATNCCGGAGTGACCCTTACCACCGAGCCATCGTAACCCTATAAGGTAAAAGTGTGAATCAATTCAAAATGCAGTTAAATATGAAAACAAAACTATGATCGTAATGCCAATGCTAACAGATCACTACTACGAAAAAATCCTTAAAATACCGGCTGCTAAACGAAGTGATGAACATGTATCCACCGATTGTGGAAACGGCGAGAAATAATCCAGTCACCCATAGAGCCCGATACAGATGGGGCGCGGCCACAAACATGACTAACCTCAACGCTGTCCTCGGTGTGTGCACCATCGATAAAATAAGTGATGTTACCCCGATAGACTTTGTGCCATCGACCGGGCCAATGGGTTTGCA